TATATATATATATATATATATATATATATATATATATATATAAAAAACTCTAAAAAACGCTTATAGGCGAAATGCTGCAGTGTTTCGCCTCGCCACGGACATAGCATGTCCATGGTGGTTTATTAAACAGAGTCGCAATGGACGGCACATGGTCCGTAGCAGTTTCGCTTGTTTTTTGACAACCACATACTCGCAATTTTTGAACGATTTTGGAACCTCCATCTTTTGCTTTTCTTTCTTCCAAAAAAATATTAACTTTAATGGAACTTTCCCTTTTAATGGGGTTTTTAAAAAAAAAAAAAGTTTGAAGTCTTTTAGACAGATATTGAAATATATACGTATAAATCGTAGAGTACAAAGCTTTTCATGAATCTACTCCCACACAGTAACATATATCTAAGATGAGGGTTCTCGTGTCCACACAGTAACATATATCTAAGGTTAGGGTACTCCCATACAGTAACATATATCTAAGATTAGGGTACTCCCATACAGTAACATATATCTAAGATGAGGGTTCTTGTGTCCACACAGTAACATATGTCTAAGATGAGGGTTCTCGTGTGCATTGCATTTATGCAATTATGACGATAAGCTTTATTTTTCTCTCTTTAGATAAACTCAATATCTCTTTCTCTCTCTAAAAACTCAACATCTAATCTAATATGTCTTTTTCTCTCTAAAACCCAATATCTCTTTATATCTGTGAAAATTTGTTTTCTCTTTAAGAACCCAATTTTTCTTTCTCTTTAAAAACCCAATCTCTCTTTAGAAGCCCAATATCTCATTTTCTCTCTAAAAATGCAATCTCTCTCTAAAGACCCAATATCTTATTCTCTCTCTAAAAATTCAATATTTCTCTCTTTAAAAATCCATGACCACTCTCTAGAAACCCAATCCATCTTTCTCTCTCCGAAAACCCAACCACTATATCTCTCCCTAGAAACCCAATCGCTCTTTTTCTCTCTAGAAATCCAATCTTTCTTCTCTCTCTAGAAATTCAATCTATCTTTCTTCTCTCTGGAAATTCTATCTCTCTATTTTTTCTCTCTAAAGACCCAAAAAAGGTTTTTAAAAAACATTTTAACATATGCTTTTTTTTTTTTAGAATACTACAAATAAGAAAAACTTAAAGAAAAAAAAAACCCAAAAACAAAAAAGGCATCTTAATGGGCCAGGCCGGGCTCAGACCCAAACCAATAAGTTCCTTTCCGGCCTTTGGGCCAAGCGGCCTTTTCCTATATGTTTCTGGGCCGGGCCTGATCATTTTTGGGTATCATAGGGCTTCGGTCTGGCGTGACCCATTGGAAGCCGACCAATATTCTCTGTGAGGACATCTAAACGAGGTCTTAAACTCCACCACAGCCAAACCAAGGGTCTGACTGCAATATTCATTGGTATAAAGGATATGGTAATACCCTTCCATTACAAAAGAAGTTTCAATTTGTACAATGCCACGTCCCAAATTATTCGAGCTTTATTAGGTCTTTAGACAATCGTGAAAATAGGCACTCCTCAACTGCACCAGAGCCTTTTCTGTTTTTGTAGGAAATAGAGACTCCTGACCCTCTCAATGAAGTAAAACAATGTTAAAAAACTAACACTCTCAATGAAGTAGAACAATGTCCCCAGTTGTTGCTTTTTGACCTCATAATGCATCCTGAGTAGAGTTTATTTTGGTCTCGGTCTCAATCTTCCCTGCATTTCGTAGGGGTCTGGCCCTCATTGAGCTTCTCATCGACAACGCCCTTGCCCTTCATACTGGCTTCGGAGATGTCGAATCGAGCTTGTGTGGCAGCTTTCACTTGCGACTTCTGGCCAAGGTAAGAGAAACACTCGAGCACAATGATATCAACGAGCACATTGAAATTGGCATTGTAGACAATCAAACCAAACTGGTTCAGCTTCACTTGATCCTGTCATTGGGCTGAAAACATTAAATCCGCAGGTTGGATAAGTACAGGGCATGAGGATCATTCAAACAGGTGAAATATAACATATAAACTGGTAAGTTTAATTTACCAGAAAAAAAAAGGAAATTAATTAGAAAAAAAACAAGTCACTGATCCTATCTAGTGTTTTCTTCAGAATTTGAAAAAGAACATCAAAACCTGTTTGAACGTTCAAACTGGTTTGAATATTTACAGGCCAAAAAAAAGAATAAGTGTAGGGCTAGAACGTAAATCCAAAGTCCAAAAATGAGTAAGTACTACCCTTGAACCATTTAATAACAAAAGTTGAAAAACAAAAACCCAAAAGAAAAAAGGAAATAAAGGGAATCCTCAAAGAAGAACAATACCACTTTCTAGACCACAACACCCAAACAACACCCACATTAAATCCAAAGGTTGAATAAGTACAGGGCATTACCACCATGCAAATATGGGAAATATAGAATATAAAGACAAAATTAATCAGAAACAGACATGTTACTAACAAGTACCTTTCTCTAAAAATTAGAATGCTAAGGAGAGAATCCACCTGAAATTTTAGCAGAGCCAAACCTGAGATATATGGCATTTGCCAACTCGATCTCACGGTTTTTTGGTAGCATTAGAGGACATATTCCATGACGAGTTCCGGCAACTTGCAGGGACACAAATTCTAGAGGAGGGAGAGAGCAATGAGGGGGAGGATGTAACACCCCTTATCTGTTCATGCACCAGCAAGCTTTGGGCTCGTTTTAATTGTTGAAGTTCGGCTCCACATGGAAATTAGCATGAGAGAGAGAAAAAGAAATTAAGACATCGATTAAAAATTAACAATTGTATTAGACACAAATTTACGAGTATAATAGTTAACTCAAGAGACAATGGAACATACACAATAATCAACTCAAGAGATCCATCAGAGAGCAACAATTCTAGTAATCAGACAACGATAATGGAACATAAAAACAACCAACTGAAGACAGTGCAGCCCCCTCAACAAACCAAACAACCCCATTCAAGATGCCTTGGGGACCGGACCACCAAACCATGTTGTTGTCATGGGAGAGAGTTATGTTGCACAGAGTTTTGAGGTTTTCTTTTTCTTGCCGGTAGGCTTGGTCGAGGGAGACCCCTCTTCTTACCACATCTCCCCATTCCTTTCTCACCACCATATAAATCCCAACAACAGATGGTGGGTTTGCAGCCAAGGTAATAACCATCAAATAGTATATCACTTGGAAAAATGCCATAGAGCCTCCCACTACTAAAGCCATAACTCATAATCTTTTTACCGTATATCCCTCCACGTACAAGCACTGGAGACGGATACCTATCACCTTTCTTCAGCTCACTTTCGCTATTACATTCGAACCCCAACTCGAGCATATCGATATTGATCACCACCTCCCACTTCTTCGCCTCCGTGCTTAAAAACCACACTATTAGTTTAAAATATGGCCTTACAGCCACAAGAGAAACATGGCCATTCCAATCCAAGACTGCAACATGGCCAACCCACACCGAGATTTCTAATCCACTTCGAAGCTCCGATGGTGCACGTATAACCTCTACTGCCTCCCTCACCATGTCGAAGCCAATCAACCTACAGTCCATAGTGTCATAGGTGTAGCATATATGTCCAATGGATATGAGACTTTTCTACCAAAGATCAGAGGTTTTTTTTGGCAGGCTTTCAAGGTGCCTCCATTCTCCAATCGACGAGTCAAACAGCTGGTATTCCGGAATGGGCTTCCATGCAAACACATTCAATACCCTAATCAAAACCCTGAATTTGCGATGCTGATGCTCAAACTAGAATCTGAAGTAGAATGCAAAGGATCCAGGAATAGCAAGAAGGCAAGTGGATTGGCCGGTTGCAGAGTTGACAATAGTAAAGATACCTCTACCTGTTAAGGTACAAAGATGCCATTGGTGCATCCCACCCTTTATCTACAACACATGATTGGGTAATGATTTTGTAAAGACACCTTCATCTACATCCCACCTTTTATTTAGATCTTTATATGTTGCAGATAAAAAAGGAAGACAACGAATGGTTTTGAGTAAATAACAAATTTGTTCAAACCCAAAATCCAGAAAATCTTTTTTACAAAGAAATTTTGGAATTACAAAAACAATTGCACCAAAATTTCTTTATAGAAACTAAACAAGTTTCTAGTTTTTTCAAAAATCTTGAAATTCCTTTCAATATTTATGAAGAATTAATTAGATATGGAAAAATCATATCTTAGGTAACAAAGCCCAGTTTCAAAAATACACAAGTTCACTCTCTGAGCTGATAACTAATCAGAGTCGCAATTTTCAAAAGCTCAAAGAAAAGATGTTTCAGTCCATTAAACAAATGGACTAGAACGAAGATTTCTCTTTTGATAAGATTAACTTTTATCTTGTGATATCATAGCTCCTCGATCATCAAACAAGTGATCCGGCTTTTGAAAAACTCAAAAGAATTTGTCTCTATGAAAAGGCTAAACAAGTCTTACCTAGCGACATATTTCCAAAATATCCCAAATAGTGGACAACAGATAGTTTTCAAAAATTTCATAACTCCTGGAAAGTAAGTTTGAAAATCACTACCTTGACCCACACCAAAACATAAAAGTTATTTTATATCTCGACTTCAATCAAACTTGTGATTATGGCGAGATTGTGGACTGAGGCCCTACAAGAAAAATTAGATTTGAACACCTTCATGGGCTATCTTTAAAATTCCTGCCCAACTTCATAAAGAGCATGGTCTACAGAATCTCAAAATCATGGAGACACAATGATCATCTGATATTCGACATAACCAGCATCACTGGATGGTTTGCTAGAGAAAAATTCTACCAGCCATACCAATTTTAGGAACTGAGAAAATCACACCCGATGGATTTCTATATTACTGAAGAAACACTGGTAACAAAGGAAGAGATAAACAATCTCGACGTCACAGAATATGTCGTCAAAAGCATAAATATCATTCACCAAAAAGTTGTATATGATAAAAGAAACAAGAATGACAAAATTCATAGACGGCAGGAAACTGTTCGTAATAGATCTCCCAGTAGCCCACACAGTTGAAGAAGAACTAAATATAGATTTACAAAAATTTCTAAATATTTATCCCACAACAATACTGATGGATCTCACCTCGGACATAGCTAATCAAGCTGAAAAGCGCATCGAGATCTTTCGAGATACTATCTTACAAAGATAGGAAAACAATCCCTCTGACAGCAGTGACAACTTAGACAGTATTGGAAACTCTAATATTGCCAACATGATGGAAAAGTGATGGGACGGACTGACTGCAAAAACAATCCAGCACACGTGTCCCCTAACGATGCAAGTGATGACGCAAAACATGATGTTATCAATGACACAAGCACTGACGTCATCACGCTATAATTATGCACCTGCCGCACTTACGGGTTACCTGACACCTCGCTACAACCATTATTACTTCCAAGACACCTCACCAAACCGTCATAATTACTTCTAGGACACCTCAACAGGTGGTCATAATTTATCATTGGACACATCAGCAGACTCCATTATTACTCAACGGCCTCTATTATTGCTGACCAATAGCAATAATTGCTCACCTGCCCCAATAATGGTGCACCTACCTCCATTATTGTGGAATTGAAATGAGTTATAAGGGTTTAAAGTTCGCATCTTCTCCTCTATAAATAGGGGCTTAGTCTCTCAATTGAGACATCGAAAATTAAAGCTTCACTTTAAAGTCTGAGTTCAAGCCTTAGGGTTCTAAATTTTTTGTTTCCCTTCTGTTTTATGTTGTAATACCTATGCTTATTCATTCTCTTTTGTATGCCTTTCCTTCCATTTCTCCTGCTTTCTCATCTTCACGAGTCTCAGTCTGAGTCTTGTAAAGCCTCTATAATCCGCTTGTCTATAAATGATATCATAGCATGTACTTCAAAGCTCATACTTGTTTATTATGAAGTAAAGCTTGCTGTTAAAAGTTAAGCGTTGTAGATTAACTGGACTGATCACCTCAGGTAAAATATCTACTTCTTTGCTTTAATTTATCTTTATGATGTATATGTTCTTTTTTATTTTGATTTAAACTGTGACCATGCAATGTGTATGTTCCGTTTTATTTTGATTCAATATCGGTTTGATCTAGGTCAAATATCTGCGACCGTGCGATAAAGTTTGGATGCTGATGACAGATGAATTTACTATTCATTTTCGCCTATATATATATATATATATATATATATATATATATATA